AAAAGCACCATGATCAGATATCATACCATGAATTCTTCAGTGCACTACAGGAGCAGGGCTGATAGCAGAGCAAAAGGAAGGTGGATGTTCCCTAAAATACCTTGATACTTTTTTGGCTTCAGAGGATGGCTGTGTTTGCAATATTGCATTCATGAATTTAATTGAAGCTGAAGATGGGTACAATTCACAATATGGTGCTGGATCATAAATCCACAGGGAGCAGAAAGCAGAAATAAAGTCTTAAACAGCTGAAGAGCACTACCTCTGTGCTCAGTGAAGAGCTTCATGCCCTTGAGAACTAACTCCTCAGCTGCAGTTCCTGCTGTTCCCTGTACCTTGCCAGTCTCTAGCAAGGCTCATTGTGCTCATGCACTGTCACTGTCATGGCCACAGACATGTCCTGCTCTCTGCTCTTTAGCTCTGGGGATGCAACTCAAGAAAGCCACATCTTCGCAGAAAATAGTAAGACACCAAGCCTGTGCTGGGAACCTGCAGCTTCCTTGTCAAATGATATATCTCATTACAGTCTCTTAACATAAAGAGTTTGTCACAGGGCGGATGCTACCAGAACTTATCAGAAGTGCAGGGGCTAAGCCTGTAAAAAACACATCAAGTCTGACCGCTGACACTCGTCAGGAAAGGTTCAAGGCCAACATGGTTACTGAAGAGCTAAGAATCAATAACAGGGACTCCTTCTTGTAACCATAGGAAGATAGAGGGAAATAAAGAAGGGTCGTGGCTGCACTGGCTTTCACACCCTCCCCTGACTGCATGAGATGGTCAAAACACCTTTTCACTGCAATGAAATCGGCTACTACACTATTTTCTAGGCTCATGCACCCACAACTGAGACATTCTTGAAGAAGCATGAGAGTTTTTTTCCATCAGATTCTGCCACTAGTTATCTTAAATACATTATTAATAAACTCCAAGACTAGTTAAAAGATTAATTTATTGCCATTTAAACCTAAAACTGAATGCACTTGTGATCCAAGAACTGGGAAACGTTCCTTACTCTTGTAATCTAGACACAGCTGAAATGATTGGAATCACTTCTGAGAAATTTTACTTATACCAAAAATATAAGATGTGGAAGACTTTGGAAAAATATGCTGAATGAATCAGCTGCATTGGCCAGCCGTTGTGTTTTTAATGGTCCATGTTTCTCTGGACTGCGGCCAAAACTACACAGAGTTTTGAGCTTTGCCATTGGGTCAAGCCTCAAATACCTCTGTACTGATCTCACAAGTCCTACTGACATCAGTGCCTCAGCATCACCTGTGCCCATGGGCTGGGCAAGGAACCAGTAAAGCCACAGCAAGAGGCAGAATAATGCTCCTTCTAAGAGCAGAAAAACTCTGAGACAAAGGAGAGGAGGAAGGTAGAAGTGGAATTTGTGCTTGTTTCACTGTTGGATAACATCTAAGTTGCACAGAGGTGCATGTCTGCACTGCTGTCACAGAGCAGGTCTTGTGATGATAAGAAAGGAAAACTGCTAAAGGATGTGCTTTGGTTTTCAGTGCTGCAAACACAGGACTGCAGCTATAATGATGTTGCTGTTGTTGTTACTTATCTAACTCTACTGGGAAAGGGTCAAGTCCAGAAAGATCCAGAAAGTCAGTCAGATACTGACCCAGAAATGGAAAAGACCAAACAAAGAGAAGCAGGGGCAGGTTTGCTGAGTGAGATCTTTCCAACACCAAATGTTTTAGTGAAGAGATCCAGGCAAAGATGATAAAGATGTGGCCAAAATTAACTGAGCGTGGAGGCAAAGAGAGAAGATATGGAGAAATAATTTTGTGGGACTTAATGGCAGGGGAGTTTTCAGAAATCTGCCATTGATTACAGATGCATTACTGTCAAGTGTGAGGCTTATGCGAGTTGAGATTTATATCTCAGATGTAATATCCAGTGGGTGACTCAGTTAATGATAACTCCTTTGTCCTGTGCTTCTCTAGATCAAGCAGTGCAGATAATTATGAATAATGATAATGATTTGGATCTCAGAAAGAATTTGCACAAATAGGCACACACCTATGGGTGATGTGGCTTCATGCACAATAATTAAGCACATATGCCAAGGGAAGTGAAATAGAAAATGGGTAAAATCATTCCTTTGCGAGAAGGCTTTTTTTAGATTTTGCACCTGAGAAGTTGTACTGTGTGCATATGTCAGGTAGCTGGCAGATTGATTTAGAGTTCACAGACCTGAGGAAACAGAGGGTTTGCATAAACAAGGGCAGGATGGGTACAGAAATAAACACAAACGCTGCCTCTGATCACGCCAACATGTCATGGAGAGAGTGGTGGCACGCAGAGACACCAGCGCTGCCTCTGAAACCTCTCGAGCTGCGTCAGAATGTCGCTGTGCCTGGCTCCCAGAAACCTGGCAGAGCCACCCCACACCTGGACCAGGACCAGCCAACCCAAACCCACTCAGTTTCCTCTGCCTGGCAGCTCCTTGCATGCTGTAGATGGGCCTTGGCAAATCTGTTGAGCATCTTCAGCCACACTGCCCTAAATTGCCGTCAGTGTGGCTGCTTGCTCACACCCGAGAGTGGAAGTTAGTCCATTGAACTGTAGGAGGTAGAGGCACGTTCCCACAGGGGTCTAGTCAAATTTCTCACGTAAGGATGGGGTTTCACAAGCTAACACGGCTACTTCAAAAACCTTGTTTCTGTGAAAATGCCACTTATACTTTGCTTCTAGAATCAACACGGCAAGTAAGACTTTCTCACACCCTCTGGCAGCTTCCAGAGGAGAAGCTGAGAGGCTTATCATTTCATCAGTTGCCATCAGTTCAAAGGAGAATTTTGTCATTTCATGTTTTTAAGGCATTTCAGTGGGCTGTCTATGTGGGAGCACCAGCTGACGTCAAAGAAGACTGTCATTCAGCAACAGGTATATGGGGGAAAACAGCCCTCTTTTACATCTCCAAACAAGGAAAAAGCCTAGGAGAGCTTCAAGATCCTTCCAGGCATTATTTTGCATCTTTGGAAAAAGCCAACATAACTGGAATTTATCTCTACTAACTTTGAGCCTCATTATGGACTCCCTGTACAGGTAGTAGTTAATACACACAGACTGAGGCACTTCCAGATGGTGATTTTGTTTTTGGTGACCTGAGCAGCTTTACTGTCAGTGCCAAGATCTTCAAATTCATCAGTTCATTCTCTTTTAAGATTTTCTGGGCACGATTCAGCTTCAGATTAAGGCCCCTCCATTTGGGTGACTGTATGCAGGTGTCTATATGACCATTAAATCCACAAAAACATTGTCATTTGACTGGGAATTCGAGGGTTGGATTCACCTTTGCATCCAATTAGACTAAACCTCTTTCTAAGGCCCAGTTCTTGATATGCTTTAGAGCTCATCAGCAACCCTCACAGTTTTTTTGGCAACAAAATTTCACAAGGTGTCCTGCAGCACTTGCTCAGGGGGTGCCTTGTTTATTTATTTAAGAAAAACTTGTCTCAATTACAGCACAAATACTATACGTTGGCCAAAGAGGCTTGTCTCTGAGAAGAGAATTTCTCTCCTCCCAGTGCCTTGTGTTTATAATCTCCTGGGTTTTGACACTGCTCTGCACAGAGACCAGCTTAGCCCACTCTCCCCTTCCCCACAAGCTCCAAGGAGACATCACACGAGAGCAGGCACGGTGGGACCATTAAACTGACTGCCACAAGCAGCCAGCCCTAAAACGGGATTGTTCCTCTTGGTTTTAAATTAGAAAGAATGAAGTTCACCAGCTATTTAAGTAGTTTTGTGAAAACTCATTGCAGGTGGTCCAAGACCAAAACCTGTCACCTCCTGTTACCCTAAAGGAGAGGGAGAAGGGTGACTTCTTGCTAAGAACGTGAGGTGGCCAGGACATACGTTTCAGTCTGCCACAGAAAGGAAAGGAGATGAGAGCGTGTTTTCTTTCATTTTCAGTGGCACACCATCAGACTGCAAGGCAAACTGCCTAACGCTTTCTGTAGGAATGTAATAGCTGACCTTTCATACTAGTTCCCATGGGTACTTTGAAAGACTCTTTCTAGAAGTAAGTCATACATCTACTGAATAAAATCAAGGAAAATATAACTGTACTCCTTCACTTTTCTAGGAAGCACATTTCTTCAGTGTCTCAGAAAAGTCTGTGAATGTTTCTTGGTAAAATGAACCTATTTAACTGCAGATTGAATCCCAGACCAATGGCACAAATTACAGAATGTGACAAGGAAACTTAAAACACCTTCACGCAACACATACGAGCCTTTGACAGACTGAGGTCAATACAACATTTTGGGTATCCTAATTTAGGATGAGGGACCGACCACCATCAAACCAGGCATCGGCTGCAAAGGCCACAGTAACACCAAGCTGCTCTCTGTCATCACAGCTTCAAGGCAGCTGCATCCTGCACTTAATAATTCCCAGGGGAAATGCCTCATGACAAGAGAATAGCACTAAATTCTGCTTCCAGCTTCATTCTCAGTATAGCTGAGAGGAGAATTTGACCTTTGGTAACTTGATTAATACCAAATTAACAGATGGCTTTGGACTTTCCTTGAGATTGTTTGCTCATCCCTGTGTCTCGCTGTCCTGCCTGAGACCCCAGACAGCACCTCTGCATACACTGAAAGTGGGGGCAAGGGCCACAGCCTCAAGGGAGCAGTGGAGCTGCATATCCCTCCTCCACAACCTGCCCTGACAGAGCAGCTGTTTTCACCCTGGATGCAATGCCTTGGTGTTTTTAAGAAGTGTTACTCATGTTTTTGACATTTTACAAAGGTTATTCTGAAATTTCTATTAAAACAACGTGGGAGAGATGCCTCTGGAAAAATACAGCATTGGCACTCAGAGCCCCATTGCAAAGCACATTAAATTAAATGAAGCAGCACCGATACAAAAAATTTCTACCAAAACCCCATGATTTATCACAAGCATAACCTTCTCTTCTTTGTGTAATTAAAACAGACTTCAAGTAGTACAAACACAGGAGATTAAGCCCGTCTTACCTGGAATTGGTATAATGGGAATACTTTCATTGGGGACCACACGGGGGGAACTGCTGTCCTCCACATAGAAATGAGCAGTCTGAAAACACTTTCTGTTAAAGGAAAAAGAAAAAAAAAACATCCAGGGTGTGAAAAACTGCCTCTGAGAAAACACACAAAAACTTTTGTACGTGTTCTGCCTCTCCATTTCTGCTCCATACTTTCAGGTGTTATAGTTTCAAAACATCAATGCATATGTGCATTTTCTTCAATTACAATCCTAATTCCGGATTCTGGTGTGCTCTAATTCATTGACATCTGACATCCACCCATCATAAATGCCTCCATATATTATTGCTAAGTACTACAGAATATGAAATTACACTCATAAAAGTTAGTGACTGCAAAACAGGTTTCAAATACATCATTCAGAAAGAAACACTACAGACAAAAAAACATATTCAGCAAACAGTTCAAACCCAAATCTACCTGAGACACTCGCATTTCCAGGGAAAATACACTTACTGTAAAAGTTTCTGCTGTGTAACAGCCAGCAGACAGTAATACAGCATCTGTAACTGCTTCAAATCATGATGCTCTGCTATGAAAGTTATTCTTCAAACACAAAGTTTTTTTATTTGCAACACTAAAGCCATACAACCCTCCTCCTGAAAACTTGTATTACATATGATTCTCCAGAAAAATGCAATAGGCACTTAGCTTGGGCCCGAGGACTCATCTCTGGAAAGGCCTATAGGCAAGAGCAGAACTTAAATCCACCTGACTCATTTTTACCTGTATTTAATGCAAAGCAGAGAGCACAGGCTGGTCATCATAGAAAAGGTACTGAGCAGAGTAACATCAAGAGATCCAGGGAGACTCTGCATGGTGATGTTAACTGAGGCAGGGTTTTCCAACACCAGCGTCACTGCTCATTGCTGACTTAATGAGCTGCTTGAGGCTGGAACTGAATATTTAATGAGTCTTGCTTGGTGTGAGCAGCTAACGTGGCAGGAGAAGGGTCTGCTCTCATCTGTCGGGTGCTAAACAATAGCTTCCCATTTCAGAATGATCCCCCTCATTGCCACCCTTCAACTGCTCCTCAACACCTGGGCAAAGTTTGCGGGAGGCCTGGTGAGCTGAGCTTTTGTCAAGTTGCTGGTTCCCTTGCTCAAACATATTTGCACATAGTGGTTTCTGAGTTCCTGCCTTGCAGTCTGGTGCTCTGTAACTCGGGCACTGTGCTCCCCACAGAGAAGCCGTGGGCAGAGCCGGCTCCGCAGACTTTGTCAAAGTAATTTGTGCTCCCTTTGTTTCCAACATCCATACATGCTGTGGGGGGAAAAAAAGGCATTGAAGACCAAACCACTCTCTTAGGTGAAACCAGAACCTAAAATAATCCCAGATCCTTGCTTTCGATGCATCTGTACTTCCTACTGCACAGGCACAGTGCTTTATAACACAAGCACAAGCTGTGGCAGCACAACTTAAGACAATACAGAAGCAGGAGAGAGCGGATTTCACAGCATGGAGTCACTGTCTGGGAGCAGCTTTCTATTTTCAGGCATGATGTCTTGCATTGTGCTGAAGTTATTTATTTACTGAGTATGCTCACTAAATACACTCACATATTCTTTTGTTAAGAAACACCATAAGGTGAATTCACACATGAGGATGCAAGATGTGTAATAGTCTCACAGCATTTAAAAACATCAGTTGAACTCCCCCCGCCTCGCCACTTGCTCCGTTCTCATTTTTTTTTTTTTTTTGGCAGCCTTTTTTTGGACAATGCACACCCTGGGGGCACGCAGCAGAATAAATCAGTCACACATAAAGAAGAAACTATGAATATGAAACAGGCAAAATGTTCCTGATTTTGATGTATTTGGGGCTCTTTCCCTTGAGTCAATAGTACAGAAATCCTTGAATGGCTTCTCCTGGTAATGAAGGCCTTAAAAAGGTGTTTGATAAAAAAACAGACCTTTATATAGGGATTTACAGGATTTTTTAAAGCTGATGATACTGAAGAAAAGCAATTATTTTTTGTTAATTTGTTATTTTATACTCTGAGAGGCTCGGATAGGCTGGCATTATGGTTTTACATGCAGCCATAAGATGGCTTTTTCTTAATAGCCTCGAAACATGTAATTGTGTCAGATAATTGCATTGGGTGGTATTTTAAGGCCCACGATGGCGATAGCTGAACACCCAGTCCAGTGCAACTGCTAAGCACCATGTTGGAAGAACGATGTATTAAATGAATATTTCACATAGTAAAGTTTGCTACAATCATTAATGTCATTAAAATTTCTGTGTTTCAGTCCTGGAAGACTCTCTGTAGCTATTTTGCAAAGGCAGTCACCATGGAATTTAACTAAAGGTTTTCTCAAGTCACAAACATCACACTACTCTTGTCTTATGTAAATACCTACATAATGCAGCATGTTCATTACTTCACAATAATGGATACTGGCCCATTAGGTGAAGACATGCCTCTCAAACTGTTTTTTTCCCTACTTGCTCCTAATTGCTGTACATACTCCAAGTTTAGCCTCTCCAGGTGAGGTCACTACGCAAGGGCCATCTCATCCCTCTCCTGGTGACTCCTCCCACGTCCCTGCGACTACACAGGTTCAAACTTGAGAGCAGGATGAAGCTGATCAAGCTTTAAAAGACCTTTTACAGATTTAATGAACTCACTGGATCAATTTTCCAGCAAGTTCTGCCTACTGGGTCTGCTTCCTACTCTTGCATCTTTCCTCTGTGCAGCACCAGGAGGGAGCACAAATCTCAGGGAGCCAGGCAGATGACTCCAGTTTGGATGATATCCATTTTTCCTGAGTGAGGAAATATTGGGGCCTAAGAAGAGCTTTTGCAAACTCGTGTCTAGTAATAAATACTGGTATTTGGTATCAAGGCTACTGAGAGCTACTTCAGACAATTCAGTATCTTCCTCCTCCCCCAGTTTAGGATGCTCCTTTCCATCCCTTGGCATTTCCCCTACCCATTACCTTTCCCTCCAGATACAAACCTGAAGTGGCAGCAGTTGCTAAGGCTACAAGAGGCTGCAGTAAATCTAAGTGTGTATATGGGGAGGGCTGGATAAAGGAAAAGGATGAGAGCAGGAAATTGCTTGTTTCGAGGCACTGGAGGCACAGCCTAGGAGAGAGGGTGGAGTGGATGCAGGGCTAGACAAGGTGCAAATCTACACCTATTCTCACATGAGCACAGTGTGTATACATGGGCAGGTGTTTGCACCTGTGCGCCCACTTGCTCAGTCAGCAGAAAAAAAGTGCCAGGTTTTTTTTCCTAATAGAAGCAGTCCTTAGTGAATGCACAATTGGGATCTGTCATGGCATAAATGATTATTAAAATCTTAACAACTGAAGCACTGATTTTAGAGGAATTATAGTATTTCCGCAGCCCTGGTTGAGGAAAAGAAAACCACAACCTTGATTTCACTTCCAGAAGACTTTGGGGAGCGCACATCTTTTCTGTGAAATACTAGAGTCTGTTGTCTCTGAAATATGCCTGTGAGCAGTGAAGCACACCGTTTTCTCTAGCCCCATATGTTTTTTTGGCTCCCTTTCCCTGGGGTACAATAACTGTGCGAGATTGTGGTGATCAGACACACGGTTGTCACATATGGACCCAAATGCAGAAAGTAAAACACTGCGAGATTAGCATCTCCCCAGAGAAGGAGAAGTGGCAGGGGTTGGACTGCAAAGACAATGTGAGGGAGAGCATCCTCTGCCCAGAACCTTTTTGCAGAGATACTGGCTGTGAATTACTAACGTAAACTAACAGGATGCAAAGTCCAGAGCAGCAGCACCTTGTTACCAAGCTGAAAGCATAAAAATATGACAAGAGATGGTCTTGATTAGCTTGTTCCATCTCTGATGAGCAAAATATCAGATTAGCTTCTGCAGAAGTAGGTTTCCTTTGGTTATTAGTTACTAAAGATCAAGCAGTTTCTTCTTCATACTCCTCTAAAATCAAGAGGGAGAACTAGATCTCATAATGGCCTGAAAGCATGGATGCATTTTATTTTCGTGTAGAAGACAGTTCCTCAGTGTTTAGTTAATACTGCCTCCAATAGAAACACACAGCACACCACACCACAGTCGATGGGAGCGCTGGGAATTGCTCCGAGGGCAGTGCCTGGCCTTTACTCCTCCGAACTGGGTCTAGTGCAGGCAACATCCCCTGATCTGCAATGACAGGCGGGGGATCTGCAGTGCTCCGGAGCAGCTGAGGCTGGGAGAGGAGGAGCAAGCCATTATTGCAGCAGGGCAAGCTGGAACCACCAGGGCAGCGGCTGAACAAAGGAAAAATCAAAGGGGAATGCTTCACGTTCCAGGAACACCCAAGAGCCATGCCCTGCCTCATGCTCTGAAGTGACCAGCCCATCCATTGCTCCTCGTTCACTGCAGATCTTCTCCGTCTTCCAGGTGTTTATGTTGGCTGGAGCACTGTGTATTCCCTCTTCAAGGCCAGCCAGTTTTATACTACTTTATTTCTGTAAGAGGATCTAGGAGCTCTCAGGTCTGGGTTTCTTGCAACTACTCTCTTCTTGGGTCATTACCTCCTAACGCATGACCAGTTCAGGGGCAGATGGCTTGAAAGGGTCCTGGAGGGCAATTCACTACTGTCAGAGCAGGGCAAACCTTGTCCTTCAGGTACCCTTCCTCCAGAAACAGCCTCCCACAGACAGAACCTCTGCAGAATGCACATTTATTAACAAAGAGACCAGTAGTCCCTGCAGCCACCCAACTCACACACAGTCCTTAGCTGTGGGGAGAACAGGCGAAATTGAATCTGTAAGAGACCTTTAAACCAGGCTGGACAGGACATGGCTTAGTCTTTATCAAATGCAACCTGGATACAGGCATTCATTCACCACGCTCCTCCATCACAGAGTGTCTGCAAGTAACTCCCAAACAAAGACGCAAAGACAGGAAATGATCCCCTTTCACTACCTCTGTACATTCATTCTCACTTTCAATAGAAGAAAAGCTGCTTCAGATTCTCCTTGAACTATTTTGCATGTTTTCCAGGAGACACAATTAAGATTGGTTTCTGCTGGCACCAAAAACAAAGTATGTATGCAGTC